TTGTTTCTTTTCATGAAGTAATTCAGCTGGAGGAAGTCATCTGCCACACTTCTCGTTACATTACTTTTGCATCGTCACGAGACGCATTGTTACATAATTGCCAAGTGACATTTGTGCTAATAATTATGTCTACATATCAGCACAAATCCCTATACTAATAAGGGCGTATCCAGCATTCTTCACTTTAACCTTCACGTTCTCGGTCCCTTTGCACAATACATTTGAATTATACAGCATATTTCCAAACCTTAGAAAGTTGTAGATTGCTCTGCCATTTTTAGCCCCATCTTTGCCACGGAGTTGCTCACATGGTTTTTTCACAAAGCATGAGGGATCATTAAAGAGCTCAGTATTAACCATAATGTGCTTTACCCACAGTATTTGAAAGATTGCAGACAAAATGTAATGTGATTACAGTAACGTGTTACTTTTTCAAGCGTGGAAAAAGGTCACCGTATGAAAGGCAGCGTGATGTCACCGCTAGACTTCGGATCAATACCGTCTTTGTGTTTATTAGCTCAGAGTTATAGTGAGCGGTCAGTCCCTCTAGTGGTGCCAGGGCAACACAGTCTGAGGAGCTGAAAGAGAAGGCGAGAGAGAGAGAGAGCACACAAAGCGAAAAAAGAGGGACTGATGGACAGATGGAGGTGGAAAGCTGGGGTTAGATGCGGAGGGTGGAATGGAGAAAAAGAGAGGGAGAAGTTTTCAGAGTGGTAGTGGCGACCCAGTTCCATCACTGCTTGTTTGTGTTTGACGTGGCGCAGCAGTTAAGAGCATTGTGGCACAAGGATTGAGGGTGGCAAGGCCGCGTGAAATAAACATGCATTTGTGAGGATGTTACCTCACGTTACACGCATGTACACAAAGACTTGCACCCACGCACGCGCTCATAAAGATATTAGTTGAGCAACTGATTGCCATGATTAACAGCAGCTGCTTTGCTAATTGCGTAATTTTTCCACATGATTTTTATTTTTGACTTTTTCCTCCAGTTTCTCAGATGTTAGAATTTACTCCCATTTTTCATCTCTTATCGCACTAACAAAAGAAGGAATCGCTGTTTGTTTATGTGCTCTTCACTTTTCTACTTCACACTTGGCACGTCTGTTGCTAGGGACCAAATGAACAGTGGCGTTGAGTTTACATTTCTTAAAATGGGCAGTTCTTGTACTTTGGCTATGCTGTTCACGTCGTATGATATCTGCGGGTGAAGTGTTTAGGGAATGTCGTTATATTGGAGCTTACAGTTCGTCATCATTGGAATTTAAGGGTTTAAAAAAGTCAGCCTTGATTCTGGCAAAAATACTTTCTCGTTGTTCCTCTCACACAGCCTTAGTCTCGTCTCCCTCCTTTCCCCCTCGGCTGATGGTTGCCCCTCCCTGAGGTTTCTTCCTGTTAAAATGAGTTTTTCCTTCCACTGTCACCAAGTGCTTGCTCATAGAGGGTCATCTAATTGTTGGGGTTTTCTCTCTATTATTGTAAGGTTGCATCGTAATGAAAAAGGAAGAGATCCTGAAGCATGCATGATATATCATATCATTAAACATATCATTTCAATTATTGCTGTTTACTTAGGTAGATTGCACACACACTCTTTTTTTGCAGTTGTTTCCCCTCATTTTTCTTTACTGTCTTTCAACTTCGACATAAATTTGAAGTGAGTGTAAGATGTAAATCAATGTGAAAACAGCTTTTAATTGCATCTGCTTCTTTAAAAACTGAGTGCTAATTAGTCAGACCTAGTAAAACAAAAACTGATGAGTCAGTTTAATCTAATGGAGACCGAGGTCGATTGCACCCAGCTCCTTTAAAATCTTTCAGGCGTGATGCAGTTCCCTGTAGCTCGGGATGGTATGAATGATTGATCATGATGCTGTAAAGCTGTATTGCACTTAGCTGTGCATTTAGCGTTGACAGTGTGCTTCTTCATCAGGCCTTCCGTGTTGCTCCTCCAATAAAACAGGCAGTTAAAAGTGGAAAGGTAGTGATGGTCATCAGCCGACTGTTGGTGAAATGACAGTTTCATGGTATTTTCTTCATCCCCTTTTTGATATCACTGCTAGTTTATTTCACACTCCATTTTTTCTATATTTACACTAATAGCGCGTGCACGTGCTTGTGTGGATGCCTGACCTTGTTTCCCTGCAACAGTGATTTGTCACACCTCGTGTTGATATGGCGCAGTGAGCTGGCTCTTTGACAACTACACTATAAACGTGAGCGTCCAGTGTGAATCGCGTGTTTTCTGGCATCTAAAGCGTACTCTGGTGCTACCGTTGGGATTTGCTACACACGTTCTTCTCTTTTATTAGCTACAAAATTACATGCATTAGGGGAGCGAATGTGGCAATGTTTCCTTTTAGATGGTGGCTCAGTTTGTTGACTTTTGGGTGGAAGTGCTGGAAAATGTGAGGCTGAGGAGTCTGTGACATAGTTCTGGAGTAATAGGGGTCAGGAGCGTGTTATGGAGCTGGTCATGAGGAGAGTAAATGAAGATGGGTTGTACAGGACTGCCAGAGTTTGGGAAGGTAAAAAAATTGTGGGATTTTTAATAGCGGGAGAGAGAAGGGGAGATATAGAGACAGTGAGAGCTAATGAGCTGGATTTTGTGGAGACTTGGCATTCTGCTCATGGTGTTCGCTCTCTCTCTCTCCTCTGTAGAAGAGCTGGCATGAGCGAGCTTCCTGTCTGAGCCCTGAAGCAGGAGTAAATGAGGGGTGGGTGGGTGGGAGGGCGGAAAGGGTGGGGGGACGCGGGGCACGGTGGAGGGGTGTTGGAAGCAATAGAACAGAGAAAAGGAGGAGAAGGAGGAGGAGGAGGGGTGAGGGGTGGGAGGGACCAGTGTTGAAATTGAATGCCAGGGCGCCATGCTCTCACCGCCAGCGTTTCCATGGTTACAGGGTAATTCTGGCGAGTAAGGAAATTTCATTCACTCTGGTATGGAGAAGAAGAAGAAGAAAAAAATAGGAGGGAAATATCAACAAAGCAACAGAAATGGAGAAAGACAGACACGGCGAAAAAAGAAAGAAAGAGAAAATCAGGGAGGAGATAAAAAGGAGACAGAGGAGAGAAAGAGGAAACCTCTTCTGGGGTTTGTGCCACCCATCCCCCCGGCGATCTGCCTCTGCTTCTGTCTCTCATTCCTTTTTTTTTTTTCCTTGTGTATTTCTGTGATGCTTGGTTTGTTTGCCACCACCCTATAAGCAAACACAACACCCACCCACAATCCTCCAGTTCTTCCAGCAGCCCTGCAGGTATATGGCAAAGAACAAAGAGAAACACTGTTAACTGGCCGCTGTGTGTGCATTTGTCAGTGTGTGTGTGAGAGTGTGTCTCCTTTTTTTTTTTTTTTTTTTTTTGGGAGGAAGGCAGTGGGGGTTGGTGCCAGGGTAGGTTTTGGGTGGGAGCCGGAGTGGGGGGTAAAGAAATCAGGAGGCAGAAGGATTGTTCACAGCATACTGCAGACCCAACTGCTTAGACAAACTTGATTTAATTTGTCTTCAGACATGTTTTTAAAGGAAAAGTGAATTGAGTTAAAACTCTTTATTCATGTAAAAACCTGAGCAGGGTGAAGCCTGTGTGTCAGCCTTTATAGATACAGGCATGCTCTCACTCTCAGGCTAACAGGGGCTGACAACTGCATGGGGTTTGACTGGGCCGTCGTTGCAGCCAATGTGACAGCTGTACAGCCGAGGAAACTCTCTGTCTTCACACACACACACACACACACACACACACACACACACACACACACACACACACACACACACACACATGGGCATCATCTTGATTTTAAATATGATGTGTAAATTATCTCATCAGCACATGCAGCATGTTTTGACAGAGTTATCCATAAACAAAATTTCATTAACGTGTTGACCATGTGCTGTTTATTATTGTCAAGGTGGCGTGTGCAGATGTCCGACTGTCACAGTGAATGACGTTACTTACTGAGATAACAGTAATGTAATACTTTCTCATTAGAGATGCACCGATTCACAGCTGCCACATCACAATTTTCTTGGCTGATTCCAGTTTCAGATCTTTTGTGTGACCTCCTCATACTGATTTTTCTTTCTAATGACTATGACTGACAGCATATACAAACCAAATTCTGATTTTTTCCATGCATACGCCTGTAACTGCAAAACTTATTCACTTACACAACTGAATACATTTATATACAGTTAAGTAGTCTGCTACTGGAAAAAGAAATGAACTGAAAATGGGTTGCTGCTCACGCGCCTTTGCTTGAGAGATTTTACCTTACATCGAGCAAATAGAGGTGCAACAGATTTAGATAACAAAACAAGTGTCAAGTGTACATAATCTCTCACTATGTTTATAGCTTCACCAGCTTTGATGCTCATACTGAGGCTCTGGGTAGCTTTAATCACTTTGCTTTATTGTACTTTGTCTTTATTAGCTTCTTTATAATGTCCAGATCAGTCAGATGAGGGCGATTTTAAGTGTCTGATTGGGTTTGTTATTATCAACAGCGAGCAGCTTCCCCACTAACAGCATGTTAGCATGTGGCTCGTAATTGAACATATTACCTCTATATCGTTGATCTATTTGAAGATTAGGGCATTGACTGGTTCTGATAAGGACACAGCAGAGCAAAGCATCCGAAAAAATGGCTATAAATAATAAATAATAATGTACAAGGTAATCATGAGTGAATAGTTTGAAGGCTAAAAGTGTGCGTTGGGGGTGGGGGGGTGGTTTACTGCAGTTTTACACACTTGTTGGCAGTTGCTATTGTAGGTGAGTTGAGATTTGGGTAACACAGCGGTGCCAAGATAGAGCTGAGGCAAATGAGCAAAAGATGTGCTAGTTGCAAGCTAGGCCTGTGACTGGTTAGGGCTAAGCATGCTGGAAATTGGTGGATGTCGCTCCATGGCTGGTTGATTGATACAACTACAAATTTTCATTAACAAAAGAGTAAAAAAAAAAAGAAAAAAAATCTTGACAAATGTCTTTGTTTCCTTTTCTTTCAGTTGGTGAGGAGGGCCTGTGGGAGTGTGGGCTTTCCTACGAGTGCAGAACCCTTCTGTTCAAGGCCATACACAACCTGCTGGAAAGGTAAAACCATCAGCGCTTTCTCCAGTCCACCGCGAGAGCTGTAAACAAATGTAAATAAATGGTGTCTAACAACAAGCGTACTGCTGGATAACTCCACTGTGGCACCCATAAGTGTAGCCTGTTGAGGCAAATAATGAGCAGTCCTGTTTAACACAGAGATTTCACCATGCTGGTGTCCACGGAGACCCCGCTTTATGGCGCCTTTGCTTGTTTACGCTGAACCACAGCGAGCTGGTGTAATGCCACCAGAGTTTACACAGAAGGGCTTCACGTCTGACACAGCAGCGTCGCTTCATGCCAGCTCAGCCTTTTACACACATGTAGATTAGATTTTTTTATTACCTTTGCACCCAGCTCAAAGGTGCAACAACAAAGCGATAGGGGTAAAATAATAGTGCAATATGTCCTCAGATTCCCATTTCCTAAATATTTACACAGTGACTTCTAAATGCAAAATAGGGGTGTATTTCTTCCTGTTTTGGGAATTGAATTGTGAAAGTCACCAAACAAACAAATAAAAAACAACAACTTTAAGTCAAAGTGACAGAGCGTGTTAGTTTTCCTGCATGAGCTTCACCTTAATGGAATTATAAACTGAGTGCTGAATCACTTGCTCAAGTACCCAAAGCTCTCCTTTCTGAGTCAGAGCCATCTGTTAAATGAAGCAGCACATATTTGCTCTCTATTAAGTGAAGCATCAGTGATCATCATAGGGGGCATGCTGAATTAACCTTCCTATTACCTTGAAGCTAACTCCTTAAATAGCTCACTGTTTCAACACTAAAGGTATCAGTTCCACTTTCTCTTTTATATTCTGCAGATCAAGCTGACCTCTGTCTCAGGCTGCCGATATTATAGCTCTGATTTTAATTATGATTATTGTCATCAAAAACTATTCAGTTTTTTTCTTTTACAAGCAGTTTTTTTTTAATTTAAAGGATTGAATAGCATAAAGACAGAAATATAACTTTTGCTAAAGTTAATGAAAAAGTTAAGATGCTACAATAACTCTGTTGTGCTGCTCGTCAAGTTGGGATGAGAGACAGAGCGTCACAAGGAAACCGGCCAATCACAGTAAAGACGTTTTGCTGAATAAAGAATCAAAGTGTGACATCAACCACCAGATTTATAGATTTAAATTTATATCCCGACTCTCAAATGGATGGATGCTATTTTATTGTTATTTATTACCATAAATGATCCTCATACCCTTGATCTACTGGAAGATGAATGTATTGGTTGGCTCCAATAAAGACAACGCAGGGGGCTGAATCAGAAAATATGATCATAAATAAAATGCAATAGCGACACTCTGTACAGCGTAATCATAAGTGATTTGTTTGCCAGATGATTAAAAAAAAGCTAAAAGTGTGTTTGGGGGTTTTTCCTGCTGTTTTTCTCCTGCACAGCTTTTGGCAGTCACTGTTGCAGGTAAATTGAGATACTGGTAACACAGCGGTGTCAAGATAGAGTTAAGGGAAATGAGAGAAAAATATCAACTCCCCACATTTAAAGGAAAAAAAGGCAAGGCCTCATTTTACATTTTAGCATGCAGTTGTATGCGATGGCGATGACGTGACGTGACAACACAATTCAGTCAAGAATTAGTTTGCCAAAATGCATTTACAAACAACAACATACACACAGATGCAATGTTGATACAGTTCATTTTGAGATCAGTAACTACATAAATTATGCATAATTTGTGAGGATGTCAGTGTTATAAATATAATTCCCAAAAGCTGTATAGATGTTGATGGTCCTGGTACCCCAGCCAGTTTATGTAGCAAGTTTCATCCAGATTGATTAATAAATCTAGGAAGAGAAAAGAGACATACATACCCTACAGTCATTATAGTAATCTGTTCCTTATGAATATTGTTGTAAAACTCAGAAATAGCTTATATGTAATGGAAAGGCACGATCAGATGAGAAAATGTATTAATCAGAATGCACCAAAGATGGTACAGCTGGAGACTGAAAGTTTTGGATAGCTGAGTCTGGGTGAGTGAGGTGGACTTGAAATCACTGTAATTCCTTAACCCAGGTCAGAGATTTCAGCGGGGGATTCACTGGCACCTGCACAGAGAGACGAGTCAAAAACTTCTAAAAGAGCTGGTTGCACAGCCAAACAGGGAGCGTGATGACTGAACTGAACTTTGATGTGATCATATTTTGTTCAGATGAAAGAAGTGGTTTTGGCAAGCCATGTGCAAAAGTGCAAAGCACGTTGGGGAAACAGATTAGCAGAAAATTACTCTTCCTTCCCCTGTGCACTTGCAAACTACATATCAGCATTACTAGTAATAAGTAAAATAGTAGATAGTTCTGAGAAGCAAAGAGCCAAAGTAAAATGGCTCAATACAGGAAGATTAGAACGCTAATACAAATTTTGCAAGGTCATTTTTTGGCTAATTGTAACTTTTTTTTAATAATTGTAACTGTGAAACTATTCGGCTGAAAAGGATTGAAATTGCACGCTATCATGCAGCTGCCTTAAAGTTCATTCTGAACATCACTTTTACAAACTCAAAAACTCTTTCAGCTTTACAACAATATTATTTGTTACTTGATGCTTTGATTGAAGCGCACAATGCTATTCAGATGTTGCAGTTAATCAATCACTTGCTTGCTGATGATGAGAGAAAACTGACGGCTCTCTTACTCTCTTGTCCTCTCTTGCTCATCGCTGCAGATGTTTGACGGATAAGGGGTTCGTGAGGATTGGAAAATGGTTCTTCAAGCCGCACGAGCTGGAGGAGAAGTCTTTAGGCAACACGTAAGTCGAACACTTGGCACAAAAGTGCATGCACACGTCTCATTTGGTTACTTTTAATAGGATTTCTTCTTCTTTTTTCCTCTTTCATGTATGTTTGACTCTGAGAAATGCATGTTTGCAAAGCGTGACACAGCTTGGCTGTGCGAATAGCTGTGTCAGACTTTGTAGTGTCGTCTGTCCTTGATGTTTCAGCAGCTGGCCCATGGTGGGAGACTATTAAAAACTAGAGCAGTGTTGGAAGGTGAGAGCATAGCTGAGTTCTCACAGCTCCCCCTCTCTCTCGCTCCCAGGGTGAGGGAAGGGTTGTGGATCACGCTGTGTAGGCAGTGTGGGAGACAGTCACTGAGACTGAAACAGAGTAAAAAGAGGGGTGGGTGTGATGGCAGTAGTTCAACTTGTTGCTGCAGCCATTACACTTCCCTCACACAGCTCGGTCGGCCCACTTCAGCTTTTCCTGCTGGTGAGGAGGCACCATTCTTTACATTTCTAACATAGCAGAGCTCAAACGCTGAGTGGATAAATAAGTGGCTTTGTCAAACAGCTCCTTTTGGAAATCTGCTTTATATTGCGTAGCTGCAGCAAACACACACACGAGCACACACACGCACAAATCATGCATGCGTTTATATAATATATTTGGACATTGTTAAGTTGTAAATTGCATTGTCATTCAAACGTAGCGCAAAGGAACAAATGCACAGGAAACTCTTCCTGTAGAAAGTTGCTGACACGAGTGCACTCTGCTGTGATGTGCTGAGGCAAACTTGGGTTTAGCTGTTTAGAGCAGGTGGAAGCCTCTCAGCGAGGCATGCCGCGTGACATCTCGAGGAGTGTGTGTCACTTGTATTGCATATATCTGTGAAACACTGCGAGAAAGCTTGACGCGACGGTGACATCTTTGTACCAAAAAGCACTCCCGGTAGAACGTACTGTATGTATCGGTGATAAAGTAATGGAGGAATCAGATATAATTCAGAATGTGGATGTTTTGATTTTTTCGCTGACTGATTTTATGAAGATGGAGAGACTGTGAATGCTTGTGACACTGCCATCAGACTCCTGAATGAGACTGCTGAGTATTACTGTGACTGTTGCTATCTGCTGCTCCACTGATTTATACAGATGTGTTTGCACACTTGCACAAAGTTGAGGTACAGCTCAGTTTTTCAAACGCAGGTCTTTTGAACTCTTTTCGTTGTTTGCACATGTATGACTTCCACTTTCTTTTCCAAAGTTTATTTATTTTTTATTTTCATTAGAATTTTTAGAATTTTTTTCTGTGAAGGGAGAGATCGGCGAAATACAATTTTCCCAGTGTAGGTTGCTGTGTATATTTCCACTGTGCATATGAAGATAAAACCTCTTAACTTCTATAACAAGCTCGTCCCTCTAATATTTTTTAAAAATGCATATAAATAACATATTAGAATGAGCACTGAAGCTCTGGCGGCTTGTGTTGGCTCAGGAGTAGTTTCTGGCGCAGCTTCTGAGGTGCATGGAGGAGGGGGAAGACTCTAAAGTAGCAGTAACTTTTATAGGAACTGAGGGACAATGAACTAAAGTGAATTGAAAACAAAAACTATAAATGAAATAGAAATAGAAACATTAAGTCAGGGATGCCAAGCTCTTTGTACATCATGTGCACATAAAGCTCTCTTTGATCTCACATGTGCCAGAGCGCTGAAATCCCCCATTTCTGTCAGTGTAAAGAAGTTTATTGACACATTTAATCCCTGAGATGCATTAATATAAGAAAAGAAGTGCAATTTCAATAATGCTGCTCGATTTTTATATGTGATAAATAAATTCTGCTGTAATTAATAATAGAAGTCTGTTTGGGCTTAAATTGTAAGAAATAAATGTGTAAAATTACAGAAAACGTTCTGGTAGCTGATTGGCCAGGCTGTCTTGTAATTATAAAACAGAAAGATTTTGCTAACTAACAGAGAAATGTCTGTTTTCAGAACTTTCAGCTGGAAAAACAAAACCAAAAAGGAAAAAAAAAACAGCAACATTTTCGTCCTTCAATTGTTTCTTTATTGGTTCATCATTTTAATGAAGTATGAATGGCCATGCTTGAGCTCCACGATCATATAACTTGGCTCCATCGTACTATCAGATACTTTGATACTGTGTAGCAAACCTTTTGCTGCCTCTGGTTCAAATGTTTGGAAGTAGTACAGGTTTGTTTCAGAGGGGATGTTTGCTTTCCAAGGGCCTGTTTAACCCCAATGGGGTAATGCATTCAGGGCAGAAGAGTCCAGCTATAACGGCATGCAGCTTCGGCAATAGATTCTTAACATTTTCTTCTTCCTCTTTTTTTGAGGTCATGTGTTATACTGGTGATGTGTTATGGCTTGCTGTAAACAAGAAACCCCCCAACAAATGCTATTATCCTCCAGTCCAGTCAGGGCCTTTGATGTGTGACTTTGTAATAATTTGAAACATCTGGTAACAGCTGTTTTTTACAAATGCTATACGTTTGCATTTGTTCTGGTAAAAGAGCGACTACAAAGTAATGATGTGGTAAATTAAAAAAAATATATTTTTCAGGGACAGTTCATGTGAGTGGATTTCAGTATAAACCATATTTACTGTGCAAAAGTTTTGATCTTGGAAAATGTGAAAAGACCTGTTGCCGCTGATTTTTAATCCATTTCTCGTGTAATTTGGTAAACGCCAGCCTTTTCTTCCTGTTTCCCTTCCTTAAGAGTGGCTTCTTGACAGACACCCTTTCATTGCGATCATCTCTGATGAGGCTTAAGTGAACAGTAGATGGATCAACTGAAGGGTCAGGTGCATTTCTCAAGTACCGTGTCAGGTCTTTGCTGGATTTTTATTCCTGTTTCCTAAGGACATGACTTTCAGATTCTGTTCATCTGCCGCAGACAGTTTTTCAGTCCAGCTGTTTCCTCTTTTATCCTTCACATTTCCAGTTTCCGCAAATTTTTTAAGAATACACTCCACACCATGCCAAGATTTGCATAATTTTCAGCGAGTTGCTCTTTGGGATTCACTTTGTATTCTAACAAAGTGGATCCCATTTGTATTTTTCTATTCATTTGTATAGAAAAATACAAATGAACTATTAAAATACAAATAATACAATAGATACAATTCAAAATGGGTTATGTGTAGACACTCTTCAACACTATATTCTATTTCTGTACCGGTGTTCTGTACCAGGCAAACTTGGCGTTAAAACGTAATTCTGATTCTGACTCCGTTCTTGCGTTAGGTGTTTGTTTTATGCTTAAATGATTCATGAGTCAAAGACTGACGAGCAAACAACACAAACAAAACACATTCCTCTAGAAATGGCCGTGTACAAGAACTCAAGCGATAATGAGTCAAATGAGTGTCCAAAGAAAGCATGGAGAGCACTTTACAAGAATATAAATAAATCACGGTTTGCGCAAGACTTTTGCATATTAATGTAAGATGCCCAATTTTAGCAAAACTATAAATTTATCTCTGTAGACCCCATGATGGCACCATAAAACTGCACAATATACAAATGACGTACAAGTATACAACAAATCAACAACCCACTGCAAACAGTACATCTTAGTAAGTAGAGCTAGCAGTGATCACATATCTCGTTATTGGAGATTAATTAAATTATATGTGGGCAGTAGGGCGGTGTGAAGACGCTGTTACGTGTGTCCTACTGTAAGTGGACATTCATACACATTTGGCGTATGAACATGTGCCGTGCTTTTTTTGTGTTTGCGTGTGTGTGACTTTTGCACATCATGTAATTCCTCTTGAGTTCGACAGCTCTGTTTGAATATGTTGTCAGCTGGTACGCCCCCCTGCTATGCCAATCCTGACTTGTTCTTTCTGTGAATTATTACAAGTCCTGCGAGGGACGACAGAGACGGAGACGGAGAGAAATGTACTTGAACGCTCACACAAACAAATACAAGTGTTTTATAGATGTCTGTACATTTTGTACCTGCACTTGCCACATATCTCCACAGCTCACTTCCAGCACACAGCCTCCCCCCTCCCTCATTCTCCACACACACAGAAACCATCCCTTGTTCCCACAATTGCACTGTTGCCCCACACTTGACAGTGTGAGTCCTAAAAACCCCTGCAGATCTCTGGCCATCAGCGTTTTCGTGCCATGAGGGGGACATTGCTCAGTTAGGCGTACAGTGACCTCCCGCCTCAGCTGTGTTACCACCTCCTTTGTCTCCTCTTCACTTCCACTCTGTGCCTTTTTATCCCCAACAGGGGGCGCTTTGGTGCTAATATCAATGGCATGCTGCCTCTTCGTGCCAACTCCTGCGCCTTGGCGCTGCTGCCTTTGTCAGGCTTATCTGGTGTTTATCTCGTATGTGTCCCTGGGGCACAGCGGGAATCGGCGCATCCAGGAGAACATTCCCAAACCCACTCCTCCCACCCACCCCCACTCCCACCAACACCACCACCAACAACAACACAAACGTCAACCCCTCCTTTCTTAACCCAACACTCCTGCTCTCTTTGTGTCTGAATGAGAGGAAAGCACTCTGGGTTGGTAACGCATTGCATCAGACGCTGAGGGGAGAGAGTTACAGGGGAGAGCATGAGAGGAGAAGCGTGAGAGGGAGGAAGAGTGGGGTGGAGGCTCAGTGTGTGTGGTGGGGCTCAGTGAAAGTAGGGGGTCATAAATTAATCATTACTATAGACGGCTGAATGGTTGTATTAGAGTCTGTCTCTCTCATTAGTTCAGTCAATTCTATGCATGTCAAGTGCAGTCCACAGTATGCTTGTTAATATTGGTGCTTTAATTTCACTAATGGTTATATACTCATGCATAAATAATGTGGTTATTTTAGTGTAGCATGGCTATAAAACAGACACGAGCTGCATCACCTACCTAAATATATATTTTTTTAAATCTCAGAAATTCTTACCTGACCTGACAGAACAAGCTTTTTAAAACACACTGCAGGTCCTCCCCTCTTCCTCTCCTCTCCTCTCCTCTCCTCTCCTCAGGGATAAGTGAC